AGATAAAGAGCGTAGGAAAAGAAATTTGGGAGGGAAATGGAGAGGTAAGACACTTGTGGGACATAGATAAGATTTTTTATTTGTTGAACGTGATGTGTACAATAGTCTCCACTGGGCTAGACTGAGGTATATATCATGCTGGGTAAAGTCTCTTCATAATCTAAATGATGTATAGCGTTTTAATGTATGAATAATAATTTTTAAAAAAATTTAAAAGACCTAAAATAGTCTGCTGATACATGGTACTGAACATTAGAGGAGGTGGTAATGTGAAGTGCTGGAATTTAAACAAGGTCAGCATGAACTGTCAATAATTCTAAAGCATAGTATGTAATTCTTTAAAACATAGGTACTGAACAAGAATTATAATTCATATAAAATGGGAATTTAATAGAAATATGTTGGAAGATTTAGTAAATTACTCCATGAAGGAAGTTTAAATGATACAGAAATGAAAAATATTAGAAATCTATATACAATTAAAAGTTAATATAAATTAGCCAAGTCCATGGACATTTATAGTTAAACATTCATATAAACACATATTCATCTTTTTCCTTATACAGGGATAACATATATATACATGACATCATGATTTTGACCAAAAATAATAAATCAGACCTAAAAATATCCTTAAGTTTTAAAAATGGTGAGGAATACTTTTCAACAGTGTATTCCAAATGGATGTAAGCCCCTAATAATTCTGATCTTTTTTATGCTAGAAACATAGTTGGTTTTAATTTTTTAAACAGATATTGGTATAACCAAACATTGACTTACTAAGTAAGGCATTTTGCATACACCATATTTCAGTATGGAGAAAAAAATTGTAATATTATTTGCTATGATATCTTAAATGTTCAATTTTTTCCTTTAAGATTCATTTTCATTTCTTTTTTAAAAAATTATTATTATTTTTACAATTTGACCTGAGAGAGAGAGAGAGAGAGAGAAGAAAAGTGAGAAAACAAGCCTTCATGTCTGGGACTTGAACTGTGGTCAGCCATGTGGAAGTCCAATGCCTTAACCACCACACCACCTTTTGGTCCCCCAAAGTCTTTTTTTTTTTTTTTTTTTTAATTGGAGAGGTATTTGCCATAGGGCACGTGTGCTTGCCAGAAAGACAGAGACAGAGAGACAGAATGCAAGAAATCACCACTCCCCACGCCCCGGGGGGAGGGCCATGCCGCAACCCCTTCTCCTTTATTCTTTTGTAGACATCTTGGGCACAAATGCACACGTGCCTGGTGTGAGTTTAAGTCACCAGGTCTGGGACTTGAACTGCAATCGACTGCATGAGTCCAGCGAAAAAGCAATTACGGTTAACTGCTGGTCCCAGTCTTTTTCAACATAAGAAAATAGCTGCACATATTTAAGTGTTTTTTAATGAAACACAATCTTAAAAAGGAAAATGTTGATCGGTTTTTTGGTTCCTAGTAATAAGTCCTATTTTATTTTTTCACATAGTATAAATTATATTCTTATACAGGATTGCTTTAAGACCAGTAGTTTTTAAACAATATAACCAAATAACCATGTAAAACCCAAATGCAGCAAAGGAGAGCACTCTTTTAGATATTTTCCCACTTCAATGTGAATCAGATTGTTAAAGTTTCATTATGTGGCTCTTTAAAAAGTTTTTTTTTATTATTTTAATTTATTTTATACATTCAGTCACTGTACTGTACTACTACTTGTAAAATGTATTTACCCAACATGAACACACTTCCTACCAGTCCGGAAACTGAAAGAGAAGAGGATACAGAAGCATGGAAAATGGTTAGGGATACTGGAGACATTATGGGACTTTTTTTTTTTTGTTTTTTGAGAGTTTTTTTCGCTATAGGGTGTGTGCGCTTGCCAGACAGACAGAGAGAGACATAGAGACAGAAAGCAAGAAATCACCCCCCAGGGGGGATGGTCACGCCGCAATCCCTTCTCCTCCATTCTCCTCTCGGGATCTTGGGCACGCACGCACACTCACCCGGCGTGAGTTTTAAGCCACCGGGTCCGGGACGTGAACCGCGGTCGACTACGTGGGAGTCCAGCAACATAGCCATTACGCTAACTGCTGGTTCCCAACATGATGGGACTTTTTAAAAGAAGAAATGGTTTTGATTTCTTCCACAGTTCTCAGATGAGTTTGTTTTTTGTTTGTTTGTTTTTAAGAGAGAGTATTCACTTGCTGGAGAGAGACAGAAAGCAAGAAATCACCCTCCAGGGGGATGGCCATGCCACAATCCTTTCTCCTCCATTCTCCTCATGGGATATTGATCCCTTCTCCTCTATTCTCCTCATGGGATATTGATTGTGCACAAACACGCAACCAGTGTGAGTTTTAAGTGAGTCTAGGACTCAAACCGCAGTCAACTACATGGGAGTCTAGTGACATAACCATTATGTCATCTGCTGGTCCCTCAGATGAAATCTTCTTTTGGAAATCATATAGTCCAGGGATTTTTTGAACAATCAAATGCCCCTTAGTAGACAGAAATCTCTATCCAACTGTAATAAATATGCATCCACATCCTTAGCGATATTGCCACTATTTCTTGGAACCAAAGTAAGATGTTTTTCCTGTCCTCACAGGTCCACAATTATTATAAAATCTGAGTATTTCTGTCATTTATAATCTCTGCTTTGGATGATAGTTCTGACCATCACCTTTTAATGACTCCTTGAAGCCAATTTAGATCATATTCTTCCAATATGCTTTTAAGTAGTGACTTTACTAGAGGCCACAAGTCTACATAGCAGCCAAGTGAGATAACATTGTTTTACTTCTGTAAACTATTGGTTAACACAAGAAGGCAATCTGCCACAATTCCGAGATTATCTATCTTCGCCAAATAAGCTACAAATTCACTTATACTTCTCTTTCTCCACAAAGTTAAAGCCACATTCAGTCTGCTGAACAAAACTTGGACCATGATTTCATGGTCCTGAGAAACCTCAGAAAAAAATCCACTGTATTTTGATGATGGACTTTCTGAAGAACCAGAATCACAGGAGTTAACTGAATATGTGCAACTATCATGGTGTAATTTTTCAGTCAGGTGGCTTGCACAAGTCAGTTCATTTTCTTTATTTGCCATGTTTTCTTTATTTTCACACCCACACACATTTCTAGGGGAGTTTTTTTCTGTAACAAGGATTTGAAAAGGGACATGAACTTACTTTCTGCCATAGATCACCTTACATGGTTTTCTGGGGTTTTCATAGCTTGTCAGACTGTTCTATTTATGTAAGCAGCCAACTGTTTTGCAGATATCTTAACCACCTTCATGCTCTTATTAGTGAAATTAGAGATCTTTTTTTCCAGGAAGACCAGTAAGATGCTCCTGAGTGCTATTATAGAAGTTTCGTTTTTTAACATTGTGGGTTTCAGATGCCATAATCTTTTAAATATTGGCACCTTATAGTATGCCTACGCTTCAGCCCAGCACTGGTTGTCAAACCTCTCCCAGCTGTCTAGAGCATCCCTCCACTCCTGGAATGATCCAACTCAGGGCCATTCAAATGCATCCCTGCGCGGCCCTCCAGGAAAACTTGCTTAAATTTTCTTTAAAATATAAATTATTCTAATTTTTTATCCATAGTTCTTTGAAATTTGTCGAAAACCATGCTATGTAAGATAAGATTTATTTTTGAGTTTTAACATTATATAAAGCAGAGTATTAGGTATATTTCTTTTTTGATCCATTTTTATTAGGTATCTATTCCTTTTCTGAACAAAATAAAAAAGTTTGCTGTTGAGTCATTCTTTCAGGATAGAGTAGCTCCATTCCTTCTAGGTGTACTGCCTATTAGAATGCTAAAATAAAAAAATAGTAACACCAAATGCTGGTGAGTTTGTGTAGAGTCTGGGTCACTAATACATAAAATGGTATGACCACTCATTATTTTCTTAAAAGACTAAACATGTTGTTACCATATAAACCAGCAATTGTACTCTTAGGTATTTATCTCAAAGAAAGAACATTGCATTCATATAAAATCCTGTACATGGATATTCACAAGTAGTTTTATTCCTGTTAGTCCCATCTGGAAACAACACAGAGACCCTTCAGTGGATGAATGGTTAAATAAACTGTACATTCATACTGTGAGATTCTGCACATAATAAAGTAACTATTGAAAGTAAATAATGATATGTATGTCCAGGAAATTATACTGAATGAACCAAAAAAAAACTCCAAAAGTATATTTTGTATGATTCCATTTATATAACATTGTTGAAATGACAAGATTTTAGAAATGCAAACCTGATTACACGTTGCCATGGGTCAGAATTTAGGGGTTAGCGATAAGGCTCTAAAAAGGTAAGTAAGCCATACTGTGCTGATAGAATGTCAGTCTTGATGAGATTAGTGTCAATACTTTGGCTGTAATTTTGAACTATGGTTTTGCAAATGTTACCACTGGAGGAGCAAGGCAAAGGATATAAGAGCTCTCTGTATTATTTCTTATAACTACATGTAAATCTGCTTTTATCTCAAAGAAGTTTAATTAAATACTGCTATTTGCTATTAAGATGTCTAAACTCCCTGTTGATACCATCCATGTTGGTCTCATGGCAGAGGAAACACACAGAAGCATTCTTGTTATTCATAAGTGTTAGTTTTATGGTTTACTCTGTATTTTCTTTTTTTATTGTTTTGTCAAATACTCTAGGAAGTTATAGTTGTTAGTACAAGTCTTCTTTTTCTTTCTTTTTTTTTTTTTTTAATTTGGTGTTCCAGTCATTTTCCTTTTGTTTCCTTTCTTTTTTTTCTGTATAACTTAACCAGTTTTACATCTTTTTCTTTTTGTAACTTAGGCTTTAATTCAAAGAGTTTTAGTGAGATTGTGCGTAGAATTTAGGTAGAAGGATTTAGCACAAGGGATGTCTCACTGTCTTCCAACTTCTGTGTATTTGTGACATTGGCAAAGTAACATGCATAAAAAGTCATTTGATGAATAACAGTATCAGTTGATATATTTATGTTTCTTTTAAACAGATACCACCACATCTAAGAATACCAGTGGGCTTACAGATATAACATGGAGTTCCAGTGGAAGTGATCTTTCCGATGAAGATAAGACATTTTCTAAACCAAAGAGAGAGAGTAGACATGACTCAAGAATAGACAGATTTTTTAACAAGAGTATTTTATGTCCAGAAGATGGAGCCAGTGAAGGTAAATGGATAATTTTGTAAGAAATCTAGTTTCTGTTAAATTCCAAGTTTAATATCAACAGACGCTTGCATTCCTTTTTAATATTGATTTATGATTTACTGAGTCCCAGCTTACATGCTAAGTCCTTTAGAAATATTTTTCATTTCATATTTCTCACAACAGTTCTAAGAGGTATTACCAGTATTATGTTTACAATAACGGCTTAAGCTCAAGCCTGTTAGAATTGGTTGGAATTCAATTTTGCATCTTTTTGACTCTGATACCAGTTCTTTAATGCTATACTCCTAGTGCCTCCTTGCTAACTTGTTATTGGGTAAGTACTACGATAACCAATGTGTGTGTAAGAAGTATAACAGTATAATAAGTTTCTGTTATGATGGCATCTTAATTCATATCATGCTTCAGACAGTTCAAAACAAGTTTTCTCATCCTTGGCATTACTACCATTTGGAGCTTGATCATTCTTTTATTTATTTATTTTTATTTACATTTAATCAATGTATATCTTTGCAGTATACAACATGTTTTTTTCCAGCAGGTTTTTTTTTCTGTTAGTCAAGTCAGACATTACCATATACATTATCATCAGCAGATAAGTTTTCTTTTTGTGTCTATTAAATGTTTTGTTTGTTTGTTTTCCCCTAATTCCCCCCCCCCACTACCCACCCTCTTCTATACTGTCTCTAGTATCTACACTTGGCCTTCCTGCTATTATACTTTCTAGTCTTTCAGTTTCTGCTATAGAGTGCAGACTTTGGTATGTATTAAGCAGGGACATAGAGTGCCTATATTTCATAGTCTGGCTGGCTTCATTTAGCATTAAATTTTCCATGTTTGTCCACTTTATATCAAATGTCACAATCTCATTGTTTTATATGGCTGAGTAGTATTCCAAAGAGTACCCATGCCACATTTTGTCAATCCACTCATCCTTTCTTGAACATTTGGGTTGATTCCATGTCATAGCAATTGTGAATAATGTTGCAGTAAACATGGGGTGCAAGTATTTTTCTGTTTCTGTATCTCTTGGGTAGAAAATCCTTCAGATAGCATTCCTTTTAACAGAATTACTGAGTTTTATAGTGGTATGGTGGTTCTGTTTGTAGGTTCTTGAGGAACCATCATTTTTTTTTTGAACTTCTGTATTTTTCTCCATAGTAATTGACTAATTTACATTCCCACCAACAGTGTAGGAGGGTTCCCCTTTTACCACAGTCTTACCAACACTTATCATTCTTCATTTTTTGAGTGTTAATCATTCTGACTGGGGTTAAATGGTGCCTTTTTGTGGTTTTGATTTGTATTTCCCTTATGTTAAGAGATGGTGAGCACTGGGGCCAGCAGATGATATGGTGGTTAAAGTACTGGACTACCTCATGGCCTACTATGATTTGAGTCCTAGGCCTAGCAGTTTGAGAAAATAATGCTGGGCACATGTGCATGTTTGCACAGAATCCCAGGAGAAGAATGAAGAAGAGGGGATTACAGCATGGCCACCCCCCGGGAGGTGATTTCTCACTTTCTCTCTCTCTTTCTCTCTCTCTCATGAGTGCATGCACAAAAGAGACATTGAGTATTTTTAAATAAGTTTCTTAGCTATTCATATGTCTTCCTTGGAGAGTTGTCTGTTCAGCTCATTTGCTTATCTTTTTGATCAGATGATTTTTTTTCTGGTAAGCTACTTGAGTTCCCTGTATATTCTGGTTATCAGTCTCTTATCTGAGGCATAGTTTGTAAACATTAGGTCATTGGTAAAGTCATGATATATTTTTCTATGCAAAAATGCATCATGACTTTCCTGATGACCCAATATATTCTGCCATTCTGAGGGTCATCTCCTCACTCTAGTTACTGTTTCTTTTGCTGTGCAGAGGTTTTTAACCTGATGTAGTCCCACTTGTCTGTTTTTATGATTACTATCTATACTTTGGGGGCCTTATTAAAAAGGTCTTTTCCTACTCTGATGTCTCCAAGATTTTCCAGTGTTTTCTACCTGTAGTTTTATAGTTTGAGGTCTTATGCTTAGATCTGTCATCCATTTTGACTTGGTTTTGTTAATGGTGAGAGATAGGGGTCCAGTTTCATTTTTCTGCAGCTAGATACCCAGTTTTTCCAGCACCATTGGCTAAAGAGATTTTCTTTTCTTCACTAAGTTGATTGGGTTGTGCCCTTTGTCAAAAATGGGCTGGCTGTGAATTTTGGTATTCATTTCTGGGGTCTCAAATCTGCTGCATTGGTCTATCTACCTGGTTCCATGCCAGTACCTTGCTGTTTTGATTATCACATCTTAGCAATGTATTTTGAGATCAGGAAGTAAGGTTTCTCCTTCTTTATTCTTTTATTTATTTTAAATTTATTTAACATTCATTCATACCAAATGAATTTTCCCATCTTGAATACATTTTATATTGGTTCATTTTAAGATATTATCATATGATGAGTGCTGGTGGTGATGTGATGAAAGGGAAACTCTCTTACATTGCTGGTGGGACTGTAAATTGGTACAGCTGCTGTGGAGAATAATTTGGAGTTTCCTCAAAGGCCTATAAATAGAACCACCAAATGATTCAGCAGTTCCACTCCTGAGCATCTACCCAAAGGATAGGAGAACATGCAATCAGAAAAGTGCTTGCATATCTATGTCTATTGCAGCATTATTCACAATTGCTAAGACATGAAGCCAACCAAAATGTCTACGAACAGAGGAATGGACTGGAAAAGTGTGGCACATACACTCTATGGAATACTACTTTCCTATTTGAATGCCTTTTATTTTAGTCTCATCTGATTGTATTAGCTAGGATTTCCAACACTGTTGAAAAAAAAAAAGTCGAGGAAGTGGTTAGCCTTGTCTTACTGCAGTTTTTAGTGGAAAATCTCAGCTTTTCCCTATTCAGTACGATGTTACCAATGTGTTTGTCATAGTCAGCTTTTGTTTTCTTGAGGATTGTCCCTTATAGGCCAATTGAGAGTCTTAATCACAAAGGGATGTTGTATTTTAGCAAATGCCTTTTCTGCATCAGTTCATATGATCATATGGTTTTTATCTTCCCTTGTGTTAATATAATGTATTACATTGATTGTTTTGCATATTTTGAACCACCCTTGCATTCTTGGAATAAAGTCTACCTGGTCATGATATAATCTTTTTAATATGTCATTGGATATGATTTGCTAGTAGCTTATTGAGAATGTTTGCTTCTGTATTCCTCAAGTATTTTGGCCTGTGGTTTTCTTTTTTTTATTATGTCCTTGTCTGTTTTGGGGATAAGGGTAACGGAGACTTTATAGAATGAATTTGAAAGGGTTCTTTTCTTTTGTGATAACTCTTTGCTGTGAGGAAGAAAACTTTCCTGTACATCATAGGATGTTTTGCAGCATCCCTGGCCTCTACCTACCCCAACCCTACTTGTGATAAACAAAAATGTTTACAGTGTTTTCAGGCTTCTCTTAAAGGACAAAATTACTCCCAGTTGAAAATGTAGATCTATAATTGTGGAAATCATATCCTTTTACAGATTAAAAAAGATACAGCTCACTTATAGTACTTAAAATAATAATTGCAAAATAATGTAGTGATTTTTAACTCTGAAAGTTCATGATAGTTAGTCAAGTTAGGTTTGTACAGACAGCCCCTTTTGATAGTGGTTATAATCATCTAGCTACTTTGTGTACCATTTTGGTAAGTATCCTGGGCATTTCAGTAGTTCTCAGCGATTATTTTAGATAGCACTTACACTGTTAACTGAAGCATATTAAATAAAATTTGTTATGTGACTCCTGATTTGTCTTTACACGTTTCAGAACACAATTTCATATTTTAACAGCTTTGGTTTTTATGGGCAAATAGTATGCCATATGAAGGATATCTCAACAAATAAAAACAGTGTTTGTCCTCTTCTATTAAAAGAGATATTCAGTGATTTCCAAGCCTGTTTAAGGGTAAGAAGATGATTTGGGCTAATTACTTTAAAATGAGTTACCAAGTTATTGACTCCTCTTCAGCAGTTGGGTATTAGATAACAAATGAATGATCCCTTGGGATAACTGTGATCATATATGATTTATCTTTCCTCCTTTCCCCCCTTCTTGTGCTTCTCTCCTCTACACTTCCAGTTCTCTCCTCCTTTTTTACTTTAGTTTATTTATTTAGAGATAGATTTTTGCTATGGAGTATGTGTGCTTACTGGAGAAACAGAGAGAGAGAGGGAGGGAGAGAGAGAGAGAGACAAAAAGGAAGAAATCACCCCCTGGGGAGATGGTCACACCATAATCCCTTCTCCTCCATTCTCTTCTTTGCATTTTGGTACACATGAATATACGCCCAGTTGAGTTTCAAGCCACCAGGTCCGGGACTTGAACTGTGGTCAACTATGTGGGAGTCCAATGACATGACCATTAGGCTATCTGCTGGTCCCTCCTTTTAATAACACCTGGTAGCATTTTTTGAGTTTTTGCTTTGTCCCAGATACTTCATTAGATATTATCTATGTTATTTTCCTTTGCTATCTACTATAGCACATGAAGTAAGAAATATCCTTATTTTACATTTAAAAATTGGGACTTGGAGAAGTCTCTTGCACAGGATCACATAATTAATACGTGTGACAATTGATAATCGTCAGAGCTGTGTGTCTAAGGTCAGTGCTGTGTGCTTCAACACTGTTCTAGTGTTTACCAAGCTAGGCTTCATATCAGAATTACTTGGTGAATTTTTAAAAATAATAGTTTTTAGACCTTCTTGTAGTCCTATTGGATTAAGAATCTCTGAGGCAAAAGCCCCAAAACTGAGATTGAGAAGGGTCTGAGTGAAAATTGTCAGGGTACTTATTTTTTCCTCAAAAATTTCTCCCTCTATTTGATATTATATATTTTGGTAAAATTTCTTGTCTTATTAGATACTCATATTCCTCATTTGTAAAATGCAAATTTTAGTCTAATAATAGTCTTCTTGCTTCATAAAATTATTGTGACCACATGAGTGCCCGACTTATTTCTCT